AGGTCTAGGTTGGATATTAGGAAACACTATTTCACTAGGAGGGTGGTGAAGCACTGGAATGGGTTACCTAGGGAGGTGGTGGAATCTCCATCCTTAGAGGTTTTTAAGGTCTGGCTTGACAAGGCCTTGGCTGGGATGATTTCGTTGGTATTGGTCCTGCTTTGAACAGGGGATTGGACTAGATGACCTCGTGAGGTCTCTTCCAACCCTAATCCTCTATGATTCTATGATTCAATCACTACTCACTTAGTAAGAATGGTGCAAGATTACAGAATTAAACTAAAACTAAAACAAAACCTTCCCCCCCCAATACTCTGAAATATTTAGCTGGCCTCTTGGTATTATATAGTCTCTATGTTCTCTGTAGAACAGTCTACAATGTGGCAGAAAGAAGAACGGGAACAGCCTACTCTGCTAATTATTATAGAAAACCATGACTTTTCTGTTTTGCTTATGTAATTCCCTTGGTTCCTCTCTCACCCAGAGACAATGAGAAAGAAAACACTAGAAATAAGATGGCAGCTTGAGGTCATTTGACCTCCAGGCCTGATGGAACTTGGGTCACAGGCTACAAAAGGACAGCAAAAAAATCACAGTCTCCATAATGTCTAGCCTCTCCACTTTCTTAGTGAAATGAGCATACTGACAGGGGTAGAGAAAGATGTGAAGAGACAATCAGGAGGCTCTAGGAGTCAGCCCCAGAGGAGAGTCAGCTGGCTGGACCTATCTCTGGTTTCCTCCGAGAGAGAGAATCAGAAGTCCTCATGCACAGAGACAGAAAGAGAATCAGTAATTTTGTGAAATGAGGGAAATAGTCAGCCTAGCTGAAAAAGAGTGGGAGAAGCACAGATGGTGAGCCCCACCCAGATGCACAGATCTCACCTCCCAAGAAGAGGTGACCCTGCTTGCTGAGCTATTTCCCAGCCAGGGAAGAAAGGAGTCAGAACCTGCTGCAGGAAAGAACTTCAACCCAGGCCCAGCTACCAAGAACCAGCTGGTATCCTGGGGGAAAAGATAGGGACTTCAAGCAGCTGAGGCCATCACATGCTAAGCTGACGAGAACAAACTGAGTTATCCGTGGACTGTCCCTGCTACAACAATTAGGTAATGTGAAAATAATATTCAACAGCTATTATTTTTAACTGTAGACCTTCCCAAATAAAAAAAGTTGCCTATCTCCCTGCCTGATGAAAGGATTTGGGAAAGACTGCCTGTTCTCAACGTACCCAAAACCGAGAATCCCCTTGTTACCCTCTGCCTCCAGTGAGAGGGAGTCTTTCTTGGGCTAGCTGGGTATTAGCTTCCTGACACTGCTACTGCCACTGCCATTTCAGCCACTCAAGGTGGGCTTATGCCAGCCCTTCCTTTGCCTTGCAGGTTAACAACAGTACACCCCAATCTTTGAATCCCTTTGAGTCATTCCCCTGTGATATCCAGCCCAACACTGGCTACTCTCAGAAATTCCAGATCCTCTGCACCCCAAGATGTAGTGTAGCTTGCCAGTTTTACCTTAAACCACTGTTCCTGTAAACCACACAGCACTTGTGAGCACTTATAATAAAACAGAAAATCATTTATTTAAGTAAGAATTAAGATTTAACTAGAAACAAAGTAGAGTGGTGGAAACAAGTAGTTACAATACTAAACAAAATCATAAAATGCAAACATGAGTCTATACTTATCAATAGTTACCTTTCCTAGCTAGTAAAGTAGATTTCTCCCCAAAAGTTCAGAGCACATCTACACCTAAAACACTGCATTGGCACAGCTGCACCGCTGTAGCACTTTAACGAAGCCACTCCAAGCTGACAGGAGAGACCATTCCCATTGGCATAGTTAATCCATGTCCCTGTGAGGCAGTAGCTATGTCAGCAGGAGAAACTCTCCCGTTGACATTGCGCTATTTACATGGGTGGTTAGGTTGGTATAATTACATTGCTCAGGCATGTGGATTTTTCACACTCCGAGTGACATAGATATACCAATATAGGTATGTCATCTAGACCAGACATAAGTCTGTTGCAGAGCTGATCGGTTTCTCAATAACCAGGATCCAAACATTTAAAAAACCCCTCTCCCCAGTCTGTCTCATCAATACATGAATATATTATGCTAGTAAGGAGATGATTTTTATAGGACAGAGTTATAAAGATGCTATGAAATAACAATAGCTCAATTGCAACAAGTGGATCTTTTCCAGAATGGTGAGATAGGAATATTTTACTAAAAGGCAAGGGTCTAAAATATGCAGGGGAAAAGAAATACACTCTTCTGGAAAGAGATTAGAATAGTCTTATTTGACATCTGCTTATATTAGGCTAGGTCTACACTACCCGCCTGAATCGGCGGGTAGAAATCGATCTCTCAGGGATCGAATTATTGCGTCTCGTCGGGACGCGACAATCGATCCCCGAATCGACGCTCTTACTCCACCAGTGGAGGTGGGAGTAAGCGCTGTCGACGGGAAGCCACGGAGGTCAATTTTGCCGCCGTCCTCACAGCAGGGTAAGTCGGCTCCGATACGTCGAATTCAGCTATGCTATTTGCGTAGCTGAATTTGCGCATCTTAAATCGACCCCCTCCCCCCGTAGTGAAGACCTGCCCTTAAGTGTTACATAAGGCAATACCCACTCAACTGATCATTTTAGAATCAATGGAACATATTCTCTCCTATGTGCACATCATTCTCATTAATATTAATGGCAGTTTTGAATGGGCATCAAGGGGAGATTGAATTCCCAATAATTATATTAGTATAATATCAGTGTAATATGGCATACATTCCGTGGAAGTTTAATTACTTAATTCCTGAGACGAAAACTGTGTCTTACCTTTCTTTAGGCAAGGAAATTTGAATAATTTTACAAATCCAAAATCATCTCCAGTCACTAGCACTGAGCTACTGTAATTTCCATCCACAGAGTTGACATCTGTAATGTTGGTATATTTTGGCCAAATTCCATTCACTTCAGGCCCTATCACACAGGTCCATGAGGCCCAATGAATTCCTTTGATCTCATCTTTGCTTGTTAAATGCTTCCCAGCTGAAAATAGTCAAATTAATATGCTGTTTAACCAACTATCTTTCCATTAAAAAGATGCTTTTCTCCATTATAGTTAGTTGTGTGTTCTTTTCGAGCTCCGTGTTTTTATGTCAAGAAAGAAAGAAAGATTATTTTATTTTAAATAAACAAGATCTATCTGGTTATGATTTTTCCTAGATCATCACTGTGGAATCTGAGCACTTTACAGATTATCTAGATCCTGATTTTACACCATTTTGACTCAAAAAGTCACATCTTCTATGGCAGTTCTACAAAAGAAATGCCTCTAACTGTAGTTATATATACACATAAATAAAGAGAACACTTTTAGGTGCTATAAAATTAATAAAATAATATATACTAATTCAAATTTTGAAATGAGGACTAAAATTCTAAAATATCCTATCCTAAATCTACCTCCATTTATTAACGTCACTTTAACAACTGGTACAGGAGTTTGCTTTATTGGATTATATAATATCAATTAAACAAGAATATTTGGTTAACCTGTCACTATACAATAACTCTTTACATTAACAACGACTTTTCTATGGGTAATAGCTTTCCCCTAAGTTAATTAGGCATGTTATTACTTCATGGTAATCTTTAATGCTCCCCGTGTAAATAGCATTTCTGAATGTCTTGTATGTACTAGGAGAACACAACTGGGGAAAGAATATTAGCTGACAAACATTTTTATTCATGTTTCATTTGCGATGATCGCAAGTAATCTTATTGTATTAAGATTGTATCAGCAACACAACATGAGCTGATCAGCAGAATAATGTTTGAAGTCAAATTTCATTGAAGAATAATTTCAAGAATTGTTATGAAGAACTTTGGACTTGTCCCAAGAAGACTATAACAATTCTGTAGGGGAAACAAAGTTAAACTTACCACACGTGATAGAATGCATTAGCTACATTTTAAACATATAAGGAGATGTCAGCTGAAAATAAAGCAATTTAATTTTAAAACTTCACTAAATTAGAGCTGGGTCTAATTCTTGGGGGTGTCAAATCCAGGGTTTCTGGTTCAAGCTCATATATACAGTAGACATTAAAAATTATGTGAAATCAATTAATTGTAACATTTCTTTTTTCTTCAAAATTGTTAAATATAGAGTAAATCTTTAGCTTTCATTCTAAAATGATTATAAAGCTACTAGGGATGTACAGCCCACTGGATTTCTTGGCCAGAAGAC